AACTCACGTTTCCAATCATCTGAGTGTTGTAGTACGCAGTGATGGGCGTGCTGACGAGGTAGGTGCCCGAGGGAAAGTAGACGATGGCCGGCTTGACCGTGGAGGCGCCGCAGTTGTTGCCACAGCGGTTCTGGTCGCTCATGGCTTTGTTGATGGCCTCGGTGTCGTCCGTCTTACCGTCGCCCTTGGCGCCGTAGTCCTTGACGTTGCGGAACACCTTGTACCCGTCGTTGGCGGAACCGCCGAAAGGGACCTTGCCCGTGTGGCTGATGTCCTCCATCCAGAAGGTCGACAGAGCCCTCTTGCCGAGGCTGCCCGCAGCAGCGCCAGCCCCGGCGTCAGCCCCGGTTGGACCAAACATCTGCTCTTTGAGCTGCCTGATGTCGTCGGGAAGAGGCGGGTACTCCACGGGGACATTATGGGCATAATCTGCCTCGGCAACAATGGCGGCAGCAACGGCGATGGTCTCGTTGATGGCAAAGGCAGCGACATCATCTGCGCGGGCGCGCAAGCCGGCTGCGCCGGACCCATGCTTGGCCCAGTACGCGTTTGTGCGTGGATTGGCGAAGCGCTCCTTGTTTCGGGCGCTGGCCTCCTGCTGGGCCTTGCGGACAAGCGACCTGGCTTCCAGGACGGTCGAGTTGGCACTTGTCGAGTTGCCCGCCGTCTGGAGCTGACGCCTGTGCCGCGGCACGAAGGGTGGCACGGGCGGCGCTGGCGATGTGGGATGCAAGTCCCGTTTCAGAGGTGAGCGTTCCTCCAGTTCCCCAGAAGTTGTGCTCAAGAGGGAGACTTTGGCTTGTTCGGCTGATACCAGGACCCTCTGAAGCTCGGCGCTATCGAGGTCTGGATGGCTGGACTTCCATTGGTTGACAAAGTCATCTATGAAGGTTGAGATGTTGGCAGGACCTGGAACGAATCAAGTCAGTTCACCATCAAAGGTACTACCAGATGCGGGAGGAGGGAGGGTGTACTTGTGCCGACCGCCACAGGCTGGGAGGTAGGGCCAGCCAGTGGCGAAGAGCTTGCGCCCAGCGCTGCTACCAGCAGCCATAAACAGGAAGACTTAACGAACATGGTGATCAGATGACCTTTTTTTCTGTGAGAGAGTGTGTGTAAGGGAGAGGACGGCGGCGGTCGCCAAAGTCAAACGAAAAGAGTGAGTTGATGCCAAAGCGCTGGAGGAATAAACTGAGGGAGACGAGACGGGAGAATCAAGCGTCCAGCGTCCACGGGATAAAAGGCCTCGAGATAGACAGCTGTAAGCTTACCGCTCAGTAACTCGTATCTACTCTGTAGATGCATATTGCAGTCAATGGGTGTAAGTGATAGCCAGGGTAGGTTCCTGCATTCATGCATACCGCGTACGGCCGCGTGGGTATCCTCGTAAGGAACTTATGATATGCTAAGCGCGGGCACTCCTCCGTGCTAGTTGCTTCGGCCCGTGAGAAGTCTCCACAAAGAAGGCTTATTTTTTCATTGTTTAGTGCTGACTGTAAGGTATTGTACCATCTTCTAATTTCACAAGAGATGAAAATGAGATAAGCTTAGATCCCTGGGAGCGGCCCCCTCTATCCATACTCGTGCCCGCCCCACCAAACACGGTTAACCACCTACCTTATTAGGTGGGGCGGCTGGATTAGGCCCCCACAGGCGTGCTTGCATGGTACCTACCTGAAGTAGGGGACTTTTAAGGGTCGCGCGGAGACACTTCCTCATCTAGAAGCAGCGCAACCACCCAACAACAATCAGGCTATTCACAAGGCAGCCATCATCTAGCATCGTGAATGGGATGCCAGTTTGGGCTCCTCGTACAGCCCTTCGTGGGCCCCACCTTCAGCCCTGCTCCAGGCACCCAAGCTCACAACTCCAAAGCGGTTCGGTCAGAGCCCCGCCTTCCCGCGTGGGGCCCGGGTGCGCACGAGCTCATTTCCGACACGGACACCGTTCACGTCAACCTCCTTACTAAATAGGCTAGAGTGAGTGGCCTCAAATTAGTTCTGTAATACCGGGTGCTTGACATGAAAGTATTGTAGGTTTTTGTTCGGGGGGCCAACGAACGACGGATAATTACGGGATTTTGCTTCCCTTTCGGCTGTGCGGTGCGGCTCGGAGCGACGGCCCGTCTAACTATCGTTACCGTCGACTCGTTGCAGTTGTCATATCTATGCCTGAGAAAATAAGTACAGAGTCGTATTAAGCCTAAGCGTGCTATCTACTAAGTATATCGAAAGTTTCAGGGGCATATTGAAAACGCAACAGGGAGAACATGGTTGATGGGGCGATCAAATGCAAACGGCGTTCTCAATCTTCGTTCCTCCTTGCTCATAACATTCCATCACAACCTGGTGGTCCCTCGCCTGCTTGCCTTGGGCCGCGCCGGCAAACGTGTCCGTCAGTCGGTCCGCTCGGACCTGTTTCATCTGGTCCTCGACGTTAGGGATGGCGGCCTGGTTTGCGGTGATGGTCTCGGGGGTCAGGATTTTCTCAATATCTCGGTCCTGGCCGTCGACCCACTCCTGGTAGCCCATCGGCGCTGTCTTGACGTCAATGCCTGAGATATGGGCCACGAAGTCCTTCTTGATCCAGTAGTCGTGGTCGGCCGTGCGCGCTGCCAACACCGAGGTGCGGCTCTCCTCGACCCGATCAAAGAGGAACTTGACGTCGGGACTGTCAAAGGTCGCTTGGGGGAGCGTACTTTTGACGTAGGCCATCCGATCGAAGATGGAATTCAGCGACCCGTCGTAGCCCCTCTTCTTGCCGAGAACCACGCCGTCCTTGATCATATCGTCCCCATAATACGCAGGGAGAGCGCCGTCCTTGAAGAGGCGGTAGGGCGGGTTGCGACCATCGGCAGCATCGTACTTGATAATGTTTTCCGCCGTTTTCTTCATGTCAAAGTCGAGCTTTTCTTCGTCCCACTTGACGCCATCAACGAAGAGCTGGTTCTTATAGTTCTTGCCCTTGTTGCTATCGATGTGCCCGATAAACTCGCCGAGAGTGCAGACCGTCCTGGCCGGTTGTTTTGGTTTGCAGGGAAGATATTTGGGCTTATTGTTGCCCGGGTCCTCACAGGGCAGCTCCTCCCTAGTGGGCCACTTTGCACACTTTACGCCTACTGTTCGCTGGTCCTCCGGTAAAAGCTGGTCGATTCGGTATGCATAGAAGAAGAGGATCTTCTCATATGCTGCTCGTCTACCGGCGCCCAAGGCTCCGGGAACGAGCCAGAGCAGGCTGAGGATGAAGACGGGAAACCGCATGATGAGGGACTGCTGTGAAGAAAACGTGGCGACGAGGAAACGAAGGTGCGAATGAAGGAGTGTATGAAGAAACGAATGCGTAAATAGGCTGAAGGAGCAACAGCGTCACCTCTACTGTCCCCGTTGTCCCGTTCGGTTATGATTCTTGAACGTTGAGATTTTCGGCCATCTACAACGGCAGTATGAACATGTTATGGATGCAAGGAACGACAAGAGATGTTGGACCATGAGATGGAAAATAAAATGAGATGGGAAATGACATGGAACAAAGTAACAAGGTGATCCACCGGTCAGCGTAGGGCCTGATTTTGCCATATCCAGTATCTCATATCCGTACCTGCGTCAATATAGACCGTAGGGTGTGGGCCAAACAGGTGACCGCTCACAAGGCTTGCACCCCGGTCCCTTGGTCAGCCTCTGCCTGACCATGAGGGGGCCCATCTGGAAACGGCTCGTCAGCCTCCGATGAGCCGTCTGACGCCCACCCCATCGTCCTGTCCCAAGCCCGCGATATCTCGTCAAAGTTATCCGCTCCAACTTCAGGGATGTCGACGTCTGGCCAAGGGCTGATGATCTTTGTGCGGAATGGCGCCGGGGGGCACGGGGTGTACCAGACCTCCAGCTGAGAGATCCAATCCTGCAACAAGAGCGCCTTTTTCCTTTCCGGCCATGAGCCTGGCGTAGGATGTATCTCCAGGTGCTCGAGAGTCGCGATGTCCCTCACGGCACCACTAGTGTTCCAGAAGAAGGCCTCCGAGTCCCTGGACTCGAGCGCCAGGTACTTGATGGGTGCATCCTTGGCACTCGACCAGATAGTAATGTCGAAGGCGGTCATGCAGACGGTATCGATGTCGTAGTTCACCATGGAGCGCGACGCCGATGATCCACTGCGGCCGCAACGAGCCTCCTGGGTATAATGGCCTCGGAGATGCGACCTCGATTCCGCGCAGGCCTGTAGAACGGCTGGCGGGCTTGATTGCGCATGGAGGTACTCGCATTTTCCAATAACCACGTGCCGGGGCTCCATGCTCAGTTCCCAGATGCGTTGGCGCAGCTCGAGAGGCAGCCGGGAAAAAGGACCGAATGATGCCATTGAAATTGTCCGTCAACCTAGAGAGACCGAAGTGGCAGGAGACAAGAATAGATGCCTGGTTGAGTGGATATTCGGTAAGGTAGATGGAATGTGATTGAAGCAAGGAGATAAAGGGACACAAAAGAATTCGACCAACTACTACGATATTTATATATCCGTCTTTAGATGTGGATCAGTTGCTGTTGATTTAGGAGGGGTAATCATACCCTGGGGTAGCTTTTACAGGGTGTTATATTATGTAATATCTACAGAGTACTTAGCTTATTTTTGTGGTCTTATCAAGGAATTGATCCGACACTTACATGGTTAAAGCACGTCGTATGACTTCCAATGAAATCCCACCCATCACACCCATGCCGATGATGAGGTTTGGCCGAGGGAGACGAAGCCCTTTTGGCTGACCCCCCTGACAACTGACAGAGGAGAAGCCGGTTCTGGTTCTATTCCGGGTTGTGGACTCATGGGCTAATCTAATGGCGTCGTGACTCGACACCATCTGGCTGGTATTAGGATGTGCTTCGGCCCTCTTCTTCGCCGCCTTGTTGTCGTGTGTCCGCGCCTGTCAACCTCACGCTCATCCCATAGCGGACCATCATTCGTTTGTCCATCCCTCCCCCACTTGGCCTCCAAGTTGCAAGCTCAGCATCATGATTCTCTCTTCGCTCGCGTCGGCAGCCCTCTGGCTTGCCATGATGCCCCGGGAAGCCGGGGCGTCAGCAGTGCACCTGGGAAAGCGAGGCGAGACGCCTCAGGCCAATGTGCTGGCCGACACCATCAAGTCGTGCAGCTACTGGTATGACAACTACGAAGGCGAGAGCTGCGTCGTGGTGCGGGATTACATGTTTGCCATCTCCCCCGAGACATTCAGCCGCTGGAACCCGTCGGTCGGTCTCGACTGCAGCAACTGGCAAGACTGGACCTCGTACTGCATCCAGGTCGCCAGCGAAGAGCCTCCCAAAACCACCACCACCACGGCGAGCACCACGACGACTGTGCCCGCACAGTCTCAGACGCCCACGGCCGTGCTGACGGGATGGAACCCAATGGGCTACTTCATCGACGACCACACGTTGGCCACCGAGTCAACGAAGGCTGGCGGCAGCAGCCTCACTGTGGACAAGTGCCAGGCCGCGTGCTGGAGCGAGGGCTTCCGCTACGCCGGCGTCAAGTCGGGGACCGAGTGCTGGTGCGGCTCTTTTGTGGGCGGCGACTGGGCCGCAAACCAAACCTCGTGCAACGTGCCCTGCCCCGGCGACGCGAAACAGACGTGCGGCGGCAGGGCGCTGCTGCTCGTGTTTGAGGCTCAGGTCAAGACGGATCCTCTGCCGCCCATCAGCATCCCATCGACCACCTCCCACACAACTGCTATTACATCCTCGTCCGTCTCGCTCACTTCGTCAACGTCGACACCATCGAGCACTGCACTTCCACCCATCTCCTCTCTCCCAGCCTGCGGGCAAACATGTTTCTTGAATATGATCAACACATACTCATCCCTTGGATGCTCCACCCCCGATCCGGCATGTCTGTGCCGCAATGTCAACTTCGGCTATGGCATCCGGGACTGCTCAAATGCAGTCTGTGGAGTGGCCGATGCGAGCGCAGTAATTGCATACCAAAGCAAGTACTGCGCCAGCGCACTAGCAACTGCTACGGGTGGAACGGCAACTCCAACTTCAGCTACAAAGACCACTTCCGCATCTTCCACAACCGCGATCACAAGCCTGCCAACTTGCGGTCAGACATGTTTCAACAACATGCTTGCGCAATATGAATCATTGGGATGCACATCCCCTGATCCGTCTTGCCTCTGCCGCAACGTCAACTTTGGATATGGTCTGAGAGACTGTTCTAACGGTGCTTGTGGAACGAATGTTGCTAGTACTGTTATTGCGTATGGTAGTGCCTATTGTGCTGCTGCTACTGCCACGGCGGCAGCTTGACGGGAAATGGTTTGACGGTATAGATGAGAATTGTGAATTATAAATATTTTTGCGTTAATAATTGTTTTCGATGAGAAGAGAATTTCTTTGAGACGGTATTTCTCCGTCGAGGAGGGTTGGGGGTTTATTACCATTTTCCAAGGTCTTGCCCTTATATTTCAGAACCTGTTTCCACGCTGTGATTCCTTCGTGTTCGATAACGTAAAGCTCGACGTCGATTATGGTTTCGCCATAGGCGCGAAACACCTTGCCGTCGTAGCTGACCTGGCTCCCTCCCGGGTACGCGAGCTGCCTCGACAGTCTCAGGCAATGGTCAGAATCCTGCAATATAGCTAATCAGTTTCGTGATGACCGTAGAAAATGAAGCAATCTTAAAATTGCAGACGAACAAATTATTAAAATCAAATGATAGATCTACTATAGCGAAGACGATATAGGAGTGAAAAGCCTGCCTGTGCGACTGCAGATAGATAAAGTCAGAGGAGAACAGTGAGATTAGGAGATCAACAGTAAAGGGCAGCTGGTTGCATTTATAAAGCCCTCATAGGACGTAAAGGATGAGCAGACTTAGAGAGAGAAGGGGGGGACGCAGAGACCTGGAGGAGGCCAACAGTTAGGCCGCCCTTCACGCATGGCCCCGCCTTGAAGGACGTCAAGCATGATGATGAGACTGGGGGCAACGCGAAAATAGCAATAAGGCGATGCTAAAAGGTCTGGGGAAGAAGAAGGCGGGGGTGTGAGAGAAGAAAGATTTTGTCGGGGCGGGTGGGCGAATTGAAGTAGTTACAAACGACAGACTGTACAGCGTCGAAGCAGCGGCAGCATAACCCGGCACCGTTTCATCTAATAAGTTAGCCGGGATTCTACTATTCTAGATAACCCTACCCTCATTAGCTTATCTATAGGAGAGCGGACAGGATCCCGAGTTTTCCAATAGGCATAGTCGTATATAATAAAATATTGACTGCCAGACGCTCAAGATGACACAGCCATGGCTTTAGTCGCAAATTGCCCCTCTGCTCAATACAGAACCGTCTACTGTCTCTCGGGGAAACACGATGTGTTCACCGTCGATGTAGAAGGTTGTTCTCACTTGGCTTTGTCGGCGAATATTGGCGATAGCGGAGGACTACATGGTCCCGAGCTTCCTGTTTGCCATGATTTAAATCGTGCCAACCTTCAACACTACTGCGAATGGGCCTATGAAGCTCACACGAAATGAGCAATAGTCTTGTAGTATAGAGCTAGACAATATGTCTGTTGCTTATGGGTGGGCCAGGTCAATCAGCAGCATTACAAAACGAAGGTCCCAGCACCGATGCCTCTACTCCATCCCGAAGTTGAATCAGCGGCAACCTTGTACTGTTACTACACTGGTGTCGCCTTGCAATGCAGACAGCAACTTAACGGATCTTCTTCTCAAAGCCGTTCTTATAGTTGTCCATAAGAACGAAGATGGGAACTCACATGCATGTTTTGATTGGGACCTTATCAATGTTTGCCTTCACCCACATTTTGGGCACAGTACTTTGCTTGACGCCACGTAGAAGTTCTGAAGCTCAAGTAGCAAGGCTCGACTGATAGTCGTCTTGAGCAAATGGTTCCTCACCTCTTCCTATCCGCCATCGATTTGTCGCCTCTAACGGCCCCGGCAATCCCTTGAACAACCATCCCCATTTCTTTACAAACCCTTCCGACATCTCCCATCCCGAGATATCCCAAGTCGGCGACCACGCAATCATACCACATCGTTCCATCTCATCATCAGGAAAGCCCTCATATAGTCCCCCAACGCAGTCTGCCCACAGGTCGTCCTCATCAAAAGTGCCAGCGGCCTGGATCAAACTATCTCGCGCCTGAGGACAAGGGAACATGTCGATCCAGTCACTGTGAAGCACTGTCTGTTGAGTGATAGTGGGTAGGAGTGTTGTAGGGAGAAGTCCAGGGTTGTTAGGGAAGGGAACGACGTGGAAGATTTCTTCCGCGCAGTCTAAGGGCGTGGTGAGGATGTCTGAGATTAGGGTGCGGTTGGCGGCCATGGCGCGTACGGCGTTGTATTGGAGGAGTGTGATGAGGTGGTCTGGGCAGAGGGGGAAGATGATGTGGAGTTGGTTCCTCTTGGATCTCTCTGGTAGAAGGGGATTTCTTGCGTTATATAGGTGTTTGACACGGGATGCTGGGACTGTAGAGAGGGATTCCTGTTTGATATCCCAAAATTCCACCACGGCTTCTGATTTGATGAGTGATTTGTCTGCGGCATTGACTGCTTCGGGTTTATTTGCTAAGGCTTTACGTTTGCCTACTCGGCTGTTAATCTCGATAACTGAGTACCTGGCGTGAGCCTCGCTTACGGTATGCTCTTGTGTTGAGTCTAGTCTGTGCTCTTCTTCTTGCTGCGGCATCTTTGGTCCCAGTCCAGTCGTCTTGTCCACTTGTCGCCTACATCCGGTGAGCCAGGCCTGTCACGTTATGTCCGAGCGGCACGTACCTCGGCCAACTGCGGCATGGAGGAGAGTTGAATGCATGGTGCTGTTGTCATCGTGATTCTACCTATGGAACCATGGAACCGGAGATGAACGATGCAAATTCCCAGATGGTCATGTAGGATGCTCGCAATCATGAGTCTGGCGCTCGGGAACCGGGGGAATCGATGTCGACCATGTCAGCAATTGAGGCACAGACAACAGAGGCTACTTGATGCATTGATGAGATCTCATTGGTCAGTTCACCAGCTACCAACTCGAGCTGGTCAAGTGTCATGCAACCTGCTCACCTCCATGGCTGACAACTAGGAAGCCCCATATTTTATGCAGCTGGCTCACTTCCTCAGTCAGCATATCCCTATTGGTCCATCAACTCACCCTCAACCCGGATGTTGCATGATTGGCTACCGATCATGCAGGTTGCTCACAACGCTTGATACCTTGGAAGAAGATCCGAGATCCAAGGATCATGAAAATTGAGCAATGAGATGGAAATAAATATGGCAGCCCCGACGCATTGTCTTTGTGTCATCCAGATCATACTTTTCAATCAAACACATTATATCACCTCTTTCTTACCGTCGTAACTCAATAACCCACACCTCAGCTTCAACAAGGACTCTTCTGCAATATGAGCTTCCATCCCGACTCTCTTCCTGATCTTGAGGGCAAGGTCTTTATAGTCACGGGTGGTAACTCTGGCATGTAAGTCTTCTCCTCTACTAGCTTATCTACAAGTCCAAATCACTGATGTTTCCAAATCACAGGGGCTACTACACCGTATCCCACCTCGCAGAACACGGCGCCCACGTTTACATGTGTTCTCGATCCCGAGAAAAAGGCACAGAAGCCATTGCGAACATCAAGAAAACACACCCCTCGGCCAATATCGACCTTCTACAGATGGACCTTATGAACCTCACTAGCGTTGTCGCAGCAGCCAAGCACTTTCTCACTCTTGAGACAACCCTACATGGCCTGGTCAACAACGCAGGTATCATGGCGGCTCCGTTTGACATGACAAAAGACGGGCACGAAGCCGAGTGGCAGACCAACTACCTGTCTCACTGGGTTTTCACAGAGCACTTACTCCCAGTAATGCTCAAGACATCAACAACGCTTCCTCCCGGCAGTGTACGCGTCGTCAACCTCACTTCATCAGGTCACTTGGGCGCACCCAAGACTGGCATCAACTTTGACAACCTGAATCTCAAGGATGAAGGTCCATGGCAACGGTACGGTCAGAGTAAAGTCGCCAACATCCTACACGCCAAAACTCTGCACAAGACTTACGGGCCCGGCTCAGAGAATGATGAGGGCGAAATTTGGACTTCATCCGTGCATCCCGGTCTTGTTGAGACCAACCTCTCGACGTCGGTGGAGCCGTCCGAGAAGGGCGTGTTGAACATCCTATCGGCCTTACGTATGTTCAAGATGTTTTGGTCTGCCGATAAGGGCTCGTGGAATAGTCTGTTCTGTGCGGCAAGCCAGGATATGACGGCGGATCAGAGTGGTATGTATATTGATATCTATCACCGGTGTGGTGAACCATGGTGGGAGAGTAGTGCGGCGAAGGACGAGAAACTCGCAGAGAAGCTGGACAAATGGACTAGGGATGTGATGAGTACAGAAGGATGGATTGAGTAATTGTGCCGTCTATTTTCCTCATTCGGATTATGTTTAGCTTTGTTGCATCTGACTTTTTTCGATCGTAGTTAATTCAGCCTCTAGGATAGCATTCTGGGTCCATTTATACACTGCCGTTTATAGCCATTGCTCCATCTGATTCAGCAAAGTAGCGTAAGACTGCGCTGTCGAGCATAATCGCGTCTGAGAAACAAAAGCCCTTGGCAACGAATATGCCATACTGTAAGTGGAAAGTAAAAGCTAGCGTTATATTGTAATTCGTTGGGTGGCTTCGGAGTCACGAATTTAGAAATGCCAGGGTCTAGGAGCTTTGGATGCAAAGTGTGAGCAGATTAAGCGTATGATGCATGATGCTTGGTAATGTTACGGCTTCCTTGTGAATTTTGAACCTTTCCACGCTTACTTGTGGTCGTCTCGCCAGTCACCAAAGCTTTAGTCATTATAGCTGGCGTTTCAGTCGTTTTGACAAGTTGACTGTCGTCATCGTCGAGTTCCATAGGACCCTGGTCTCAGGCATTTTTCGTGGCCTCCGCGTACTCCGAGACGTTCAGCACCCAATCTGGGTTCTCATGGAGATTCAAGGGATCCAAAGCAACAACATGTTTGTTCATCATTGATCAATGGGACATGCAGTCACTTCGGGGAAGCTGCAATGTGTGGCTCCCAATTGAAATAGACGAGAAATCTGGAAGTCTCCAAGTTGTTTGGCATGATATCTTCGACCTTGATGTGTCAGTTGAAGAGAACCAGGATGCGATTCTAATTTCGGCTAATGATTCAATGCAGGGAGACTGACATCTGGAAACCCGTCCGTGGAAAGATATATACCTCCAGGTACGTAGAGACTATCGGGCTTGTGCACCTTCAGGGAAGCAAGCAGTGTATCAGTGGCCTATCAATACTCGCTGTTTTTGCCACTGATACGTACGAACTAGCTTTTATTTGTAAGTAAGGCTCTTCCGGGCAATTCTCAAGGTTTGCTACATCTTCATCGCCGGGCCGGCGATTTTCTACATGGGGGTTAACATCCCGCCAATAATAAATTCACCGTCTTTGGCTTCCGATGATCTCCACTTTAAGTCCCGGCATCAAAATGCAGAAGCGTACCACTGCTGTTCAGCAGCATCGAAACCAATGTACGCCGGGTACCGATAATGCGAAAAACAGTTCATCAAAGTCTTTCTAGAAAAGGAAATAAGCCAGGAAGCACTATTTTGACAGGGGAAAAAAAACAAGTACATCACTTGTTTCCAGTAATTACATGATCGCAGCGTGCACATGTAGGTATGGATCCACGTCCTCGCCAGAAGACAGTCCTCGTAACAGGGTAAGTAAGAGAGAAGCGCGATCTTGATAGCCTTCACAGATCAACCAACACAAGCATTAGATGTTCGCCGGGCGGTATCGGCCATGCGCTGTGTCAGACGTTCCGAAAGCAAGGTATCGTCCACAGAAGGCCACATAATCTGTAGCCGGAGAGCCGTTAACGACGGGTGTAACAGGACTCCATGTCATCGCGACAGCTCGCAAAGAAGATGTCATTCACGAACTAGTTGCCGAGGGCTTTGACGCGCTGCAGTTGGATGTGACAAGCGAGGAGAGCATAGTTGCCTGCCACAAGCAAGTCCAAGGTATAACCGGAGGCAAGTTGGATATCCTAGTCAACAACGCGTAAGTACACATCAAATCCCCTCGAGGTAGCTTCCATCCATCCGTTCAAATCCCTTCATTTACGCCGCCGTTCGCGCAGTGGACGGATTCACATCTCCCCCGCCACCGATCTATCCATCCCAGACGTCCGCGCGACCTTCGAGACAAACGTCTTTGGCGTGATGGCAATGGTCAAAGCCTTCGCGGACCACCTCATCGCGGCCCAAGGCCTCATCATCAACGTCTCCTCCTGCGCCGCCGTGACGCCGTACATGTTTGCATCGGTCTACTGCGCCAGCAAAGGCGCCATCGCGAGCTACAGCCGCACGCTGCGACAGGAGCTGCGGCCGTTTGGGGTCCGCGTCATGGTTGTTGTGGCGGGCACCGTCAAGTCGAGAATCGCGGACAAGCCGCAGCCCAGTCTTGCGCTGGAGTCGCTTTACGCGAGGATGGGCGGTTTGTATGAGCGATACGTACACCTGAGTCAGGAGGAGGGGGCAACGGATACGGAGGTTTTCGCAGAGGATGTGGTCGGTAATGCTTTGAGGCCTGAGAGCTGGTTTCTGGGGCGGCCGGACTGGTTGTGGTGCGGTGGTATGTCGAGGAAGATATGGTGGGCGTTACAACTTTTTGGGGAATGGGTGATTGATTGGCAGACTTGGAAGATGTTTGGACTGGAGAAATTGCAGAGGATAGTCCAGGATGAGAGATTCGCGAATGGTCCAAAGCGCGACTGATGGTCAATATGTCTATACATCATGACCGGGGAGAAGTGGACTTTTTGTTGCACTTTTCTGGTGCTGTAGAATCATAGTATATGGATCTGAAGAAAGGCTCGTTGTTGAATAAAACACACAACTTACTTCACTTATTATAATCGGACCACTTCCAAAATGACGTTGTTCCCAGATAGATCTAATAGTACTAAGCAGGGTTGTTGTGTAACATTTCTAAGGGGAGATGTGCCCTGTCAAGAAGCTTCTAAGGTATTCGGTACATCGTGAGTATCGCGTGTCTAAGCATTATTGCGACCTCCAGCCAATTTCCATCCACCCGGCATTGACAAAGAACCATTCGTAAACTCCACCACCAGTTAGCTGTATTGCCACTAGGATATGTGAGCAAGCTTCGTCTTACAGAAAGTCCCGAAGATAGAAAAGCGGACTTCAATGCCCCGTTGCTCCTGATGACTTTTCCTCACTTCTCGGGTTTGCCGCTTCCACATTGTCCTGGTTGCCTAACTTGATAGCCGACCCCTCGATTCTGATCCACTCGATTCCGAAGGCCAGGAAGAAAGCCACACCGGCTGAGGCAACAGCGACGAACTTTCCAGAAAAAATGTCAGGGAGTGCGGAAACATGAAGTCGGGTCACAGAGATAGGGGACTCACATGTGTCTGAGCGATGGCAGAGTTGTACGACTCCATGATGGGGTCGAATAGCGAGGGAAAGTATTTGTCCACAATGGCTCGTACGTTTGCGATGCCGCTCCGGTAAAGTAGTTGTATCTGGTCGTGACTCAGCGCAGCTCGCGAGGCGAGCTGGCTCTCCAGACGCGCGTGGAAAATGGCACCGGCAATGACCTGCGCGACGGTAGCCCCGAGGAACTGGGCAAAGATGTTGAGAGAGACGCCGATGGGCAGAAGGTCGGCGCGGTCCTTGAGCGCTAGTTGTACCATTAGAGATGGCATCTGCATGGAGAAGCCGACGCCCAGGCCCTGGATGACCTGGAATCCGATCCATTGGCTCGATGGGGTATTAGAGACGGTGAACTGGGTGTACAGAGCGGCCGCAGTGCACATCAAGACTGGCCCGACAAAGAACCAAGGGTTGTAAAAACGGATTTTGAGGGCTGTGATGATATGTTAGAGGCCAGAACGTGACCGGGGGGATTGGAAAAGTACGAACCAATTCCACCTGCGCAAATCGTTCCCACGATTTGTGAGATGACTGACGGCAGCACCCTTATGCCGCTCTCAAAGGGGCTGGCGCCCTGGACTGCCTGAAACCACTCTGGGAGGTAGTAAGACGAGACGGATAGAGCACCAAGATGGCAGAATGAGAAGATGACACTGAGCAGGATAGTGCGTCTTGTGACCAGCACACCGGGGATCATGGCCGAGTCTCCCAAGCGCGATTCCCAGACGCCGAAGAGACACAGCATGACGATTGATCCAACCAAAAGGCCAATAATCGTTGCCGACTTCCAAGGGTACGAATTTCCGCCCCATTGCAGGGAGAGGATCAACATAAAAATACCGGGAACGAAAACGAACGACCCAACGAGATCTAGACTCAAGATTTTCTTCATGGTGGTCGTGGGCTCGCCTTCTCGTTGCGGCAACTTGAAAAAGAAGAACATGGCGAGCAAGGTGACGGCGCCACCAGGTAGATTAATCCAGAAACACCAGCGCCAGGTGACCTTCTCGGTGAAGGCGCCCCCGATGATAGGGGCGAGAATCAGACCCAGGGCGAAGCAGCTGCTGCACAGGCCGATGTATAACGGCCTACGCTGGGGTGAAGATATGGTCAAGACGACGGTAAGACCTCCGCTGGTGACCGCAGATGCGCCGATACCCGATACGGCACGGCCGACGATGAAGACTTCGCTTGTGGATGCCCAGCCGCATATGGCGCTACCGACGAGAAAGACGAAGAAGAAGCCTTGGTAAACCCAACGGAGCGAGAAGACACTGGCCATTTTGCCCGCTAAGGGGGTGAGCGAGCAGACCGCCAAGGTGTAGGCTGCTGGATACCATGATATGTGTGATGTGTTCTGAAAGTCGGATGTGATGGAGGGAATGGCCTGGCAAGAGCAAAGTCAGATATTTCGTCGACCGGGAAGAAAGAGAGACAGAAAAAGCTAGAGCGAATGTGTGTATTGCCGGGGAGACGAACCGTTCCGATGACATAGACATCGAGAGCCATGACAAAGGCGCCGAAGCAGACGCCAATAAGAACCATGTACAGCTTGAAGCCGTGCAGCTCCAAGGAGGCAAAGCTGGACAGCTTGGTGTTGCCTGCGCCATCCGTCGTGGACACTGGCGCGGATTCTATCAGACCTTCGATCGGCTCGCCATTTCTGTTTTGGCTATCTGATGATGCTGGTCCTGATGCTGATACCGCCATCCTTGTCTTCAGCCTCCAGCTGTATTTGTGTGTGGGGCGCTGAGAAGACAACAGGAAGCGGTGAAAAAGCTAGCGTCAGCAGCGAAAAAGGAAGATCGAATATCGAAAAGAAGGGGTGAAAAGAGCTGCAGTGATTCCTACGTCAAGAAAGAAAATCTTGAACAAGGCACGAAATATTGGGAATGAGGTTGGGACGGCCGATTGAAATTCGCCGGTTGAGGAACGTACCTATTGACCCATACGTATCTGCCTGGCCTTTCAGGTTGTCAGTGGCACAGCACTCCGGCTTTCAGCCGTTCATGAGGCGCCGCCCGTAATTGCCCGGCCGTTTGCTCCGTGTTTGTCCTCTGCTTATGTTTCTATTGGTACGGTAAATTATGAGAGGTGCTCTTGTCTCAGACCCAACATGCATAGCCAAGACCAGGGCCTGCCCCACGGGCCGCAGCGGCTACGGCGCATTATATTCAGGTAAGGTAGATGAAGGGTAGAACAAGAAAGTCACAGTCAGCAAATCAAACGGTCAAAAGTAGGTTATGTAAAAACGAAAAAAGATGATAGGCCGTCTTGATAGGATTCTAAGCAGTAATACCATAAAGCTACTGCTGATTTGTTAGGATTAATAGAGACCAGGCTTTGTAAAAGTGACAGCCACGTTTCGGCGGCTTTGACGAGCTAACTCACGCCCTCGAGAAGGAAATACCAAACCAGAGACGAGAAAGAAGTCCATAAAGTGACGAAATTTGATGACAACGTTCTGTATGGCCTGACAATATCGAGGGAGCCTGAATCTTCTAATATCTGGGCTCAAGATGGTTCGAGATGATGGCGATGCTGTTCGAGATCTTAGCTCCTACATGTTCGCAAAGCTAGCATTGCGCCGAAAGGGGCCAGTGTACTACCTAGCTTGACTTCTTTTGGACCAGCCATTATTGACTTTGGGTCCGTACACATGATGATCACCTGTGAGTTCTGTGACTAAATATTTGCCAGTTTGGCTAGCAAGGTGTATTGCTCTCCGTCTCCATAGCACTCAATCGCACCGAAATCGAGGAAAATGGGTTCTTGTGGTATGGTCTATGTGTGTTTTGGTCGATGGTGTAAGGATAGATTCTCAAGGATAAGTCAAACCCCCCACTTCCTGGCACCCCCCTGTTTCTGGCACCCACAAAAACGATGGGATCACAACCCAACCTCCTCATTACTATTAACTATTGATCCTCAACCACACCCACTACAATACAACTGCCAGCCTCACTAGGGCATTCAGAGTCGCTGGATTCAGCCGTAATAACCTCCTTTTCACCCGCTTCGATTTGAGCCCGATGGATATCCCTGATGTTCGCAAACTTCGTGTTGGGATCGATCTGAACAGTCTTCCTCTTCCTAACTGCAGCGTTGGTAACTTGGCCCTCAGGTGAGCCAGCTGCTGCTGGGCAACTGCCAGTTGCCAGGCCTGCTCTGTGAAGCCTTTTTCACCTTCCTGAACAGCAGCCGTTGAGTGCTGGTATCATTGTCGAGTTGGGTGTATAAGTGCAGTTGACCGCTGAGCTCTGCCAGCTTCCTGGTGTCGACCAGACCACTGCAGAGGAAGCAGAATCCCATGGCTCAACAGGGGTAGTTTGTTGACCATTATATCGCTTTTTGCCCCGACTGGTTGGTTTGGGTGTGGTGGGCGCAGAAGGCTCAGGTAATACCATAGGGTTCATCAGGGGCTTAACCATCGCTACAGGGTGTAGACCAGTCCACTTCCAACCACTTCTGATGTTCGAGACTGATAGACCAGCAAGTCGAGCCTTCTGGTAACAGTCCAGGAAGTTCCTTTTACCTATAATGGTAGAGTCGTTCCATTGAGACAAGTAACCGAGCTCCTTCCGATAGGCTGACTTAACAGGGCTGAAGACAGACTGGTCAAGTGGCTGGAGGACATGAGAGGAGTGGTGGTAAGAACAGTAAATGGATATTGTTAATATAGCAATTCCACATGAAGTCTGTCGTCGTATGACTCCCATGCCCATCCACAATCAACAGTCGAGCCTCGCCCTCAGCCTCGGGCATAGTCTGTGGGATAAACACCTTCTCTAACCATTCAATGGCAGTTAAGTCTGTAGTCCAGCCATTATCTGTTGCTGTAAACTCCCACCCATCGTATGGAACCAGATGTAATGGAAACCACTGTTGTTGGACCGTCTTCCCTTGAAAATGATAAGAGGACGAAGTGCCCTACCCAAGGCTGAGATACACTCAATGATAGAGACCCATGCCCTCGACCCAGGTTGTTTCTTGCGAACAGACGTCGTCTCAGCCATGCCCAGCACTAACCCATTAGCTCCTGACCCTCGAGGATGCCAGTCTCATCCATATTATATCTGTTGGCTGGTTTGATGTCCTTGATCTCAGGGATAGCAAGGAACTTAAACCAGTTCCTAATGACCTCAGTAGATGCCCCATTAACGCGTCTAGAATCGATGGAACGACTTCTCTGAACCTTAATGATAGGGTTCCTTCTCACGGCATAGATCCAGCCTTTTCCTAATGGTTTGGTATCCCCAGCAGCAGCCAGAACTCGCTCTGCGAATTCCTTCACCTGTTGGTGCGTTGGTGCGAGGCCC